AAAGCATTGAGGCCAGATGACCATGAACTGGTACTTCAGAAACTATGAGTCAAAGAAAGTTCTCCTTTGCAGTGATTTTCTCAGTATTTTGTCACCATGACAGAAAGCTGCTAGCATGCTTTCCCATACATGACTTCAGCCTGATTATTCTCATTCCTTTTGATAAAATCCAAACTGTCAGCTGGATGTGGTGGCACACACCTATAATCCTAGCACTAGGGAGGCTGAGGCAGGAGGATTACTATGAGTTTGAGACCAGCCTGGGCTACACAGTGAGTTCCAGGGCAGTCTTAACTACCTATGAGACCCTGTCTCAAAAAACAAAAAAAAACCCAAACTAACAAAAATCCAAACTGTCAAACCATAGCTGCTAATCTGCACACAAACTATCCCTTCATTAGAAGAACACCTTTGAGTAATTCTTCAAACTACCATAATTTCAGCTGACCCTTCCTGCTAAACCTCTGTAAAAAATTTGTCCTCCTCTCCAGTTAGAACTCTCCTTTGCGGCCTTCTCAATCCCAACAATTCAGAGTAAAAACCCACACCAACTAGGCTGAGCAGTCACTGTCTTCCGGGGTGGGGTGGGACTTCCTTCAGTGTGCTGCCTGAGGTGATAAAGCAATGATTTACCGTCACCTCTAGTCTAGAATCCCGTCCCCCAACATGAAGAAGGAATGCTTCTTCCCTACAGTGGAGCACCATCCTGAGGAGAGGCAGCGCCTCAGCTCATGGTAGTAGGCTGTGACTCAGGCCTTCTCCAGGACCACCTGAGCTGCTGTCATTTTAAACCTAACTGAAGACCACAGGACAGGGCCAGGAGAACACACCTAGGAATAAAGAGAAGAAAGCTCCACAGTGGGTCTGCTTCAGGCACTGCTTGCCCTCCACAGGTTTTGTGCTGGGAGCATGGTTCCCAGTGCGGTGCTGAAAGGTGGATCCTTAAGGCAGGGCCTGCTACAAGGTGAGTAGGCCATGGGGCACCACCCTGAGGGAGCAAGGCTTGCCTCCTGGCCATGGGTTAAATCTCACGCGAGTGGATTACTTCTTAAGAGAAGCGGTGGTGTAACAAAAGCCTGTCCCACTTAGGGTGGCAGGGGGCTCATCAGACAACAGTGCTCTGCTGATAGGGCTTTTCAGCCACTAAAACCATGGGTGAAACAAAGCTCTTTCGTAAGTTACCCTGTTTCAGGCATTTTGTCACAGCAATATCAGTCAATGGCAGACTTACTGCAATAGAAGAAAACTGATACAAAACAAGACAAAGAAAAAAATCTCTCTCAAACCCAGTACTGTGGTGTGGCATATGACTGTAGTCTCAGCTACTCAGGCAGCTGAGGCAAGAGGATTGTTTAGTCGAGAAGTACAAGGCCAGCCTGGGCAACACAGAGAAAAAATGTCAAACTCATAAAATTAACAACAATAATGGTGGAGTCTACTTTAGGTGGAAGAAAAAAAAGCTCAAAAAAGTTGTATTTCTGAGATTTCAGCTACTTGCAGCAACTGATAAAGGGAGAGTGATTGGGCATATCAATTTCTTAGACATCATGGTGTATTTAAACAATCTCAGTACATTTGATAAGTCTGTAAAGATTTTAAAGAAGTAGACCACCTCAAAGAGGCAAATTCAAACTGCTGCTTGTTAATCTACAGTTGTACTGTAGACCTGAGATATGTGGCTGACATGCTTTCTCTGCAGTCTTGACAGAATTCTGCTCAAACAGTGGCCCTCCCCATCCACTTTAGATCTAGCTGGAGACACTATGTGAGCTGTAGGCGAGTTTATCAAGGATTTTGATCTCCAATTTCTCCACCTATTTTGATTTGAGGTGTCCCTTTCCCTGAGGAATTGTACTCCTCCTCTCTCCTCTGATGCCCCCTTGCACACTAGCAGGAGTATGAAGGATCACTTTGTCTTGTCCCATTGCCACGAGGATGCTTCAGACAAACATCCTCTGTCAGGGGCTGATGTCAGGTCACTGTACCAAGCCCTCTGCCTGACCTGTCACACACATCTGTGGGAAGCGTTGAGGGCAGTGTCATGTGAAGAAGATTCTAAGTGAGGACTACGAGTAGCCACCTTTTTAAATTACAGGCCACGGAGTTGTAGAACAGTATGTTCTATTCATAAATTGAGTTAATTTCACACTGAAGTAGACTATGAGACATCAGCTTATGAGGTGAAGGAACACCTAATCTCTCCGTTCTGTGTAAACTGAATGCTGTTGAGGACTCTTATGGTCAGCATTTCACAAGATGACTGCAGCGCTGATTTCCTGACCATAGTGACAAAAGGAAATTCAAGCACAGGCACTAAGAGAAGGAATGCTTTATGTGGTCAAGGAAAACACTGAGAAGTGTTTATTATAAGGTATGTCTTGTTCAGCAGGGTTTGTGTTTGTTTTTTCAGGTATTGTGTCTCAGCAGAGAGCAAAGTGACTAAGACAGGAAAATGAGCATATTTCAGGATTGTGCCAGGAGGCCATTAGAAATGATGAAGTAATCACCAAAGAGGCACACAAAGAAAATGTGGCACAATATTGATCAGAACGACATTTGCTGAAACATGTGAGTTACAATTAGGAAGCAGCCCTGTTGGATTTCAGATGGAAATGTATGCAAAGGGCAGTTTAAATTATTTGTTGTTCCATCTATTCATGGGCTGCTCTGCTAATGATAATATGAACCATAAACCATGTATATTGGAACTTTAATGAGGTGAATTTGCAAATATGAAATTTATAAATGAAAATCAACTGTATTTTAAGTAAAATAACACCGTATCGCATAGATAAAAAAGAGTTAAGTTCCAAAATTTATCTCTTTAGGCTTTGAATGTGAGGGTGAGAAATAAAGATGAATGATTATATATTTTAACTTCTATATATGGTTATAACTATACGAATAAGTGGAAACTCCATTTTTTTTTGTACTGGGGATCGAACTCGGGATCTTGTGCTTGCAAGGCAGGTGGTGGCACCACTGAGCTAAATCCCCAGCCCAAAACTCCTTTTTTTTATTTGGAGCCCAAAATAAAATATTTGTATTTGAAATATTTATAAACTCAACTAACTTCTACAATATATTAGAACCATTTCTCACTTGTAGCAACCCATGAGATAAATTTTACATAGCATGTAATAAGCAGCTATAAATTGTCTCATAGATACGGTTTTATAATGCTCCCACTCTTGGAAGCATCCATCATTCACAGAATTTCCGGGAAGCTTGAAGTTAGAATTGGGATACATTCCTCAAATTAGGTGCACAAAAGAGAGAACACAGAAAAATGCAGCTGTTAGCAAATAAATGTACAGTGGATCCTTGACTTACAAACTAAGTTCATTCACAAGGGCTGGTTGTAAATCAAGTTGGTCAACTGAAGGCTCAGGCTCCTCCACACAGCTTTCAAAGTTTCTCTCCTGTATACAGGCAGATCCGTGTCCTCAGAGGGACACTGGCCCAGGATTTCTCAATCAACCCCACACAGGAAAGGATGCTGTGATGCTCCTTCCAGAACTCTAAGGGTTAAATCAGTATCTGAGCCTGGAATGTAGTAGCTCAATGGCATTGCTCCTGCCTGGCAAGCAGAAGGTCCTGAGTTCAATCGTTGGTACGGGGTGGGGATCTGTATCTGAGAGCATAGGAAGCACAAGAAGCTGACATTTGGGTCGTAACTCAAGACTGCTCCTAAGTTAAAATTAAAATTCTGGTCATAACACCTAATTGTTCGTATGTCAGGTTGCTCATCTTCCACTTTTAAAGCTAAATTTGCACAGAAGTAAAAAATCAAAGCTAAAGCAGACACATTATTGCCTTTCCAATTCTCTACTAAGCATCCCCCTAACCCCTCAAAAATTATAATCACCCACTCAGGGATTCAGAGACAAAAGCATGCCTCTGAAATCTTAAAATGGGAGTAAAAATACTGAGCATTTTCCACAGCAACTTTTTTTTAATGAAATTCTTGGACCTTTAGAAGTCTAGCACAGATCTTTAAGGATATAATATAAATTCTTTTTGTTATCTCAGGATAATTCAGTAGGAGTGGTTACTTTGTTGGAACATTTCTTTTTATTTCAGGTCTTTTCATCAATGGTTTCGTTCCAAAATACCCAGTCTTCCATTTGTAAGACAAACCCAGCAGTAAAGGATTAGATGGTTAAGGCAAGGCTACCTTGCAGCACTTACATGAGAACTGTGCAGTCAAAAGGTAGTCAGGGGTACATGAGAAAATATGTTCTTCTTGTTATTCATTCTTTGGGGCAGCTGTATCATTATCTCCCTGTGTTTACATTATAACAAAACAAATGAAGTATTGGGAGTAGGCAAGCTATGTGGAAGAAAGTGCTTTTTAAAAGTATTTTTCATTTTATTTATTTTTTTGCGGTACTCAGTATAGAACTGAGAACCCTGCACTTGCAAGGCAGGCATGGTGCCACTGAGCTAAATCCCCAGCCTGAAAGTGTTTTAAACTAGTTGACTGATTACAGTTGGGATTTTTTTTTTCTGGTGGGGGACACATACTGGCCAGGCCTTATAGTTCCTTTGGTATAAATCAATAGGGATCAAAATGCTTTTTTATTTATCGTTCTCAACTGGGACTGCAGATTTAAAACTGAAAGACTTTCTGAGCATGAGGGGAGGAGGACTGAGAAGAGAGGCCCTTTTTTTGTAGAACTAATCCTTCTTTTCAGGGGAAGGCCCTAGAGTCAGACTGGGGGGAGACAGGCCAGAGCTGGGAGGTGATGCTTACATTAAGGAGTTGTGTTAACGGACTACTCTATGAATGGATTTTAAGGCCTTTTGTCCAGTCACACACTGGGTTAACCTCAATGCACATTCCATACTATTTCCCTACCTCAGAGTCACCAGAAAACCTTCAGGGAATCAATGAAGGTCCTCAGACTGTGAGCCCCTGAATTTTCTGAAGAGAAAAACCACACTCAATTATCAGATGCTCAAACAGATCTATAACCCTCTATACCCCATTCAAAATATTAAGAATCACCTCAATGGATCCTTTTCCTTTACAAAACTTTAATAAGTGAGACTTTTTAGTACAATTTGACAGTTTCTGATCTCATTCTCCAAAGTTCTGGCAACTCTAACAAGTTATAATTTTCTAAACAGGGACAACACTTTGATTCCATTGTTATACTCTTTTATAATTAGACATATTACATTTCTAGCACTGAAAAGATTTTAACAGTCAAATATATCAAGCTTACATAATTCATAATCTCCAGAGTTTGTGATTTTAAAATAAAGCAAATTAAACAATATCTGAATTTCTAAATCTAAATACATAAAGGTGATAGTGACACCTGCAACTGTTTCAAAGTTACTGGAAAACATGTCATTTTCTTAATATGAACCTGGCATAAAAAGCAGCAAAGAGGTCTTTATAAGGAGTATCTGAATCTGACTTAGTTGACGGTATTCGGCAAAGTTGGCGAAATCGTGGAGAACGCAGCAGCAAGTTCTGTGCAAGGCCCATGAGGCTGGAGCACAACCAGTAGAGAGCAATCGACTAAAAAGAGAGGATATGAACATTAGTGCTTTAAGAACACCTAAGTCCAGGGTAGACAGCCACCACCAAGACAGAACTCTGGATTTACTGTGTCTGAGAGAAAAAACTTAGGTGTCTTAAGATGTTTTTTAGATCAGTCACTCACTTTGAATACAACACTTATGGAAACATCACTGGCCCTATTTTATTTCATCTGTGTTTCTTCAGTCATAATTGGCATTGTTTCTTCTCAGAAATGCAGTGAATCTGTACTGTTGTATCTTTACAGGGTATTTTATGATACTACCATTTTGTTAAAAAAAAACTGTAACAAGCACTTGATGTTATTTCATTAATTTTCACAGGCATTAGAATATCCTTTTTACAGATTAAGATACTTATTTTAAACAGTATTAATAATAGTATCTATGTTAACTTCCAGTAGAGGCCAGAGTAGGGAGCAGCAGAGAAAGAGACTCTCCAGAGTTTGGTTTCCAAACACAAATATAGCAACGTGAGGAAGAGAAGAAGTAGATCCTTGTGACCCAGCAAAGACCTGAAGTGAGAATTGAAGTCCACAGGCAAGTGATAAGAAAGACTTCAAAAAAGAAAAAGGAAGCGACAATGGGGCTTTCTTCCTGAGCCTGGATTTCCTGCATGGAAGGGGCAGCTCAAACCTGCAGAAGCACAGTGACTACTGTCCCTCCAGAGGCCTCCATGGAGAAATACACCAGTGGAACAAAGCAGTGGACACAGTGGACAGCAGTGGCTGGGGAATTATTCAGGTTCAGACATCCCATTGAGAGGGTGATTGTCTGGAAGCCATCTTGGAGAGGAGCCAACTGAGTTCAGAACTCAGAACAGATACAAGCTAACTCCATCTAGTGGCTCCCAGTAATAGTAAGGCTCCTGAGATCAAGTTGGCAGGAGGTTGGGAGCTGAGTTCAGGCCAGTAGGAGGCACATGGACTGTTGCAGCCTGAACAAGTCTGGTTACAGCCTTACAGCAAGAAACCAGCCTGGTCTTCAGTGAAACTAAAGGTGTAGGCTTGCTGTGATTTTCCACTACCCTGTTGTATGGCTGTTTTTTCCTGAGATTAATCAATTTGGATCTGGATTCTGTCTACCCACACTGTCTACCAGTGATAGAAAAGACATGCCTTGAAGCAGACCTTTTTTCTTTCTTACATTGTTCTTTTTTTTTCCTCTCCTTTGTTTTTTTTTTTTCCCCAGTACTGTGGATTGAACTCAGGACCCTGAGCTTGAGAGGCAGGAGCGGTGCCACTGAGCTAAGTCCCTGGACCTAAGTTTTGTTTATTCTTGTTTGTTATTTTTAAATGAGTGTGAACACGGGTTCTATTTTTTTGTTGTTGTGCTGTTCTATTCTTGCATTTTACTTTTTCCTTCTCTTTCTCTGTCTTGTTCATCAGTTTCCCTAAGTTTGCGTGATCTTCCTTTGTTCTCCAGCCTTACTTCTAATCTCTTTCTCTTCTTCTATTTCTCTATCCCTTTCCCTAACCCCTTATTGAAGACAGGGTCTTACTCTGCACTTTAAGCTATCCTTGAGCTCACTATGTAGCTTAGGCTGGCCTCAAACTCTCAGCAATCCTCCTGCCTCAGCCTCCCAAGTGCTGGGATTACAGGCCTGTGGCATCACACCTGGTCAATCTCTTTTAAATTTTCTCCCCTGAGGGTAAAAACACCAGACAGCTTATTTACTTCATACAATTGTCTGGTTCATTTTACATTTTGTTATATAACCACTAAGCTAGTTGATATGATTAAAGGTGGAAAATTAATAGTTACACAGTTTGTCATTTTCTAGGTTGTGTTTGATGCTGTTACTGTTGACTATGCTACTTTAGCCAGATGACTTAATCATGCTAATCAGTTGTTCTTCCACGTATATCAAGATGGACATTGCCCAAAGGTCTTAAAAAATACTATTGGCCAGTGCCAAAGAACCAGGAGCTGGGCCTAGTAGGTACCAACTTCTCAACCCCAACATACTGAAGAGGTAGAATCTTGAAACAGATTCAAAACTGAAAACCAGCTATACCTGGAAGACACCTCTGAGAAGTAGTCATTTCCTAAGGGTTGTAAAAATAGTAATAAAGCTATTCTCCATACACAATTTATAAGCATCAATCCAGAAATTAAACTAAAACTAACAAAAAACAGAAAATGAGAGAAGACACTTACACAAGATGCAATCCCAGACCTTCAGCACACTAAAAGCAAATTCAGGGGGCAATGAGGTAGAAAAATCTGAAAGCCATCCACCTGGACTATCTTAAGTGGTAACAGCGGATGTAAAAAAGCAGATGAACAAGGATTTAGAAAAAATTAAAACAATTAATTTCTCAGATAACTACAAAAATGGTGATCATAGTGAAAGACATGTTTAGTGACTTCAGAGTAGATAGAAAAAAAATAGAGTATAAGAAAAGGATGGAAACCATGAATGCCCAGCATAGGAAAGAAACAGAATCCATGAAACATTCAAACAGATATCTAAGAGATTAAAATTCCACTGAAAGTATATGAAATAGAATGAGCCAATGTAAGGACAGAATATCAGATATAGAAGACAGGATTGAGATTAGTGATCAAGAAAATAAAGATTTCTTAAAAATAGCAAGGGACAATGAGAAATCAATCCAGCAGCTCCTAGATGAGGCAAAGAAAACAGAAAATTAATCCAAGATAAAAAGCAGAGGATATTAAGGGGAAGAATGAGATAAATTTTTTAAATAAAAAAATAAAATAAAAAACAGGAGAGAGTGCAAATAAAAAAAACCTGTCAACAGAAGTAATGGCAGGAAACTTCTCAAACAGGTAAAAGTAATTTGACATACAGATAAGGGAGGTATACAGAACTCCAATAAGCCATGAGCACAAAACATCTACTCCCAGGCATATAATAGCAATTCCAGGCATATAATAGAAATTCCAGAAATACAACACAAGAACAGAACATTAAAAGCTGTTAGAGAAAAGGGACAAATCACCCATAAAAGAAAACTCATCAGAATCACAGTGGACTTCTCAACACAAAACCTCAAGCCAAGGAGAGCTTGGAATGAAGTATTTCAAGTCCTAAAAGAAAATAACCTCCAGCCCAGACTGATATGCTCTGTAAAACTATCTTTCAAAATTGATGGAGAAATAAGATACTTTCATGACAAAGACTACCTGAGGAAATTCATGAATACCAAGTCAGCACTCCAAAGTGTAGAAAGAGACAACAAGGATTATAGCAACTCCATGAACCCAACAGAATGAATCCACCAAGCAAGGCAAGAAATTAAACAGAAGAGGAAAGAAGGAAGCCCACAATAGAAAAATAACATGACAAAGATAAGACAATATATATATTATAACCATCAATGTGATTGGTCTCAATTAAGCCAATTAAAAGAAACACACTGGCAGAATGGATCAAGAAGCAAAATCCAACAATATGTCACATACAAGAAAAACAATTAAATAAACAAGAAATTCATACACTGAAAGTCAAAGGATGGAAAACAACACTCCATACACAAGAACCCAGAAAAAAGCAGGGGCAGCTATTCTATTTGCAAAGTATTTCAAGACAAGACTGATTAAAAGAAACAAAAAAGGTTGCCATATCTTTGTAAAGGGAACAATCCTAGAGGAAGAGATAACAATCATAAATATACATGCACCAAATACCAGTGCACTCAACTACATAAAACAAATATTAAGGAACATGAAAAATCAAATAAGCACTAATGGGGGAACCTCAATATCCCACTGTCACAGACAGATCAAGAAGACAAAAAACAAACAAACAAACAAAAAACCCCAACAACAAACTATTAGAACTAAACCAAATTTTTGAATAAATGAATTTAGATGGCTACAGTTTCCTATCCAACATCAAAATATACATTCTGCTCAGCTGCACACAGGACGTTCTCCAAAACAGACCACATTTTTAGTCATAGAACATACTTAAGTACACGAAAAGGAAATGAAAATATCCCATGCACATTATCAGATAATAGTGCAATGAAACAGGAAATCAACAGCAAAAGAAACTACAAAAATTTTATAAACACATGGAAATCAAATAACAACTCAACAACCTAGGATCACTGATGAAATTGAAATCTGACAGTTCCTATAATTAAACAATAATGCCAACACAACATACAGGATCTTAAAAGGATGCAATGAAAGCAATCCTACAAGAGAAAATTATAGCAGTGAATACCCACATCAGGAAAACAGAGCAAGCTCAAACAATCTAATGTTGAACCTCAAGCTTCTAGAAAAAGACCAAGTCAAGCCCAAAGCTCATATGAGAGAGGACATTATAAAGATGAGCAAAATTTAAAGCAATGGAGACTAAAAACAGTATAAAGAATGAATGAATCAGTTAGTTCTTCAAAAGATTAAATAACACAGACAAAAAAAAACACCAACAATAAAAAACTACAAAGACTTAGCAAAACTAAAAAAAAAAAAAAAAAAAAAAAAAAAAAAAAAAAATAATATTTTA